TCCTTCCTAACCCCCAGCTCTCTCCCCGGCATCTGCCCCCGTTCCCCCCATTCCCTTCCCTGTTTCCCCGTATCCCCTGCCGTGCTTCCGCCCATCCTATCCCCTCTTAACCCGTATCCCCTGCCCTTCTTCCCCCCATCCCCTTCCCTGCTTCCCCCCATCCCCTTCCCTGCTTCCCCCCATCCCCTTCCCTGCTTCCCCCCAAACCCTGCCCTGCTTCCCCCCATCCCCTTCCCTGCTTCCCCCCATCCCCTTCCCTGCTTCCCCCCATCCCCTTCCCTGCTTCCCCCCAAACCCTGCCCTGCTTCCCCCCATCCCCTTCCCTGCTTCCCCCCATCCCCTGCCCTGCTTCCCCCCATCCCCTGCCGTGCTTCCCCCCATCCCCTTCCCTGCTTCCCCCCATCCCCTTCCCTGCTTCCCCCCATCCCCTTCCCTGCTTCCCCCCATCCCCTTCCCTGCTTCCCCCCATCCCCTGCCCTGCTTCCCCCCATCCCATGCCCTCCTTCCCCTCACCCTCTGCCCTGTTCCCACCTGCCCTCCCCATCCCTGCCTTTCTCTCCCTACTCTGCCCTTCCCTTCTCCATCCCTTCTCAACCCTTCCCTTCCTATTCATGCCCTCCCCTTCCCCCTCACCTTCCACCCTCTAGTTCCCATGCATGTGCACTCATCACCGCCTCCCCATACATGCTTTCATCATGTGCGCTTGCTTGTGTTTCCCTGCAGTTGCTCCCGTGGCACCTCACACCACCTCCCCCATGTTCCTTCTGCCTACTCCACTCCCCATATTTTCAGTGGTGAAGCAGAGGAGCAAGCTGAGGCGCAGCTAGAGCTAGTCGATGCTTTGCACCGCAACACCACCTGTTTCTTGTGTGTTGTATACAAGGACGATACTGTATTACTGTTGGAGATATCCATCTCAAAGGCACAATATGTACTTACGTTTCTGCAGTGCAAGAAATTCTTCGAAGATGCATGGACACAAAGAGTGTCAGAAGGGTAGATAGGGGCATGATCCTAATACTTCCGATTGTACCTTTCTCAAGGCCTTGAAAAAGGCTTGAGGGGAACTGGTTTCTCTACGAGCATGGCATGGGATGATGGGCTTCGGCTAGTTGTTGTGTCAAACAAATCTTCGGTGTAGCCACTGCAATAGCCAGGGAGAGGGAGAGAATGCGAAGGATCGGGAGGGGGAACAAGAAACAAAGTCAAACAGGGGAGTTAGGGAAGAGGGGGAAGTGGGAAGCAGGGGGGAAAGGGAAAGGGGGAGATAGGACGATGTGAGAGGGGGAAGGGGATAGGAAGAGGGGGGTGAGGGAAAGGAGGAGAGGAGATAGGAAGAGGGTGAGAGGGAAAGAAGGACTTACAGTAGGAAGAGGGAGGATAGGGAAGAGGGGAGATAGGAAGAGGAGGAGAGGGAAAGCGGGAAATAGGAAGATGAAACGAGGGGAAGCAGGGGGGAAATGAGTGGAAGCAGGGGGGAAATGAGTGGAAGCAGGGGGGAAATGAGTGGAAGCAGGGGGGAAATGAGTGGAAGCAGGGGGGAAATGAGTGGAAGCAGGGGGGAAATGAGTGGAAGCAGGGGGGAAATGAGTGGAAGCAGGGGGGAAATGAGTGGAAGCAGGGGGGAAATGAGTGGAAGCAGGTACAAACAGGGAAAGCAGGGAGGGAAAAGAGGTGAAGCAGGGAGGGAAATGAGGGCAAGAAGACGGGGAAAAAAGGAGAAGCAGGGAGCGAACTGAGGGGAGGAAGGAGGGAAAATGAGGGGAAGCAAGGGGAATGAGGGGAAGCAAAGGGGGGAATGAGGGGAAGCGGAGGCGGAAATGAGGGGAAGCAAAGGGGGAAATGGGGGGAAGCAGGAGGTTAAAATTAGGGAAACCAGGGGGGAGGATTAGGGGAAGCAGGGGGAAAACGAGAGGAAGCAGGGGAGCAAATGAGGGGGAGGAGAGGGGGAAATGAGGGGAAGGAGAGGGGGAAATGAGGGGAAGGAGAGGGGGAAATGAGGGGAAGCAGAGGCAAAAATATAGGGGAAGAAAACAAGACGAAATGGAACGGCAAGGAAGCGGGGGCAAGGGATGGGCAGGTGGGAGAGAGGCATGACGGGGGTTCTGGCGCGCTGATGGCAGGGGAGGCGCGGCGAGTGAGCGGAGAAGCGGCGAGGTGAGGTTCCCAGAAACGAGCGGAGGCGTGACGATGGGACAGGAGGCGTGGCGAGGGGAGGCGCGACGACGGGAGGCGAGGCACGAGAGGATGCGAGGCACGAGAGGATGCGCGACGAAAGGATGGGTGGCGCGACGGGGGGTGGCGCGACGGGGGGTGGCGCGACGGGGGGTGGCGCGACGATGGGCGGGGGAACGCGACACAGGGAAGCGCGGCGAGGGAGGAGCTCGATGAAGGGAGGGGAGGCGCGACTTCTTGAGCCACTCATAGGTGCGTGAGCAGGAGTGGTGAGGTGGCTTCACTAGGTTGGTTATATGTCCTCGCTAGCTGGATGAGGATTTTGTTCACGAGAATGAAGGTGTGTTGGGCGAGCACAGTGTCAGTCGCACTTTGGCACATTTTCGGAAACAGCTGCCGCAGAGTTGCGTGACAAGCACCATTTCGGTCGCCCCCAAATTTCGCTTTCGCCCCGCCTTGATTCTCGAAATTCTTGTTTTCAAGGTTTCGCCAAGACTATTTCAACCTCACATAACTTGAAAATTTACCATGCTGACCTCGGGCTTTAATCAAATCAATCAATAATGCAGCTAAAAAATGGGAGTGTTACTCACCTTGCAATAGCAAAAGGACGCTGCTCCTTCGTATCAACACGACATGGGGAGAGGTTGTGATAGAGCCTGCAAAGTTCATTAGATAAGCCAGCTTCATCAGGATTCGCATATTGTTGAAATGGCACTCACAGAGGGGAGAGGGAGCGAGTGAGAGTGGGTCAAAGTAACACAGCAGTACTGTGTTCATACCTGGTGGGTGAAAGCCAGAGACGTGCGATGGCTAACGGGGAAGGGGAAGGATAGAAAGGCAAGCAAAGCAGCGGCAGAGAGGGAGTGAAGGGGGTGCAAACACCAGAGAGCATGTCGACTACACACCTGGTGCGTGTGATGTGAAGGCAGACGGACAGATCCAACTCATTGGCTGCGGTCCTGAATCTACCAAACGACACTCCTCCCACGTCACCAGCTCGAGAAGAGTTGTCAGCAGATGGGGAAACAGCCGCCTCACACAGAAATTAAATTCTCCAGAACTTGAGCACCACTATAACCTCCTCTTCCGTCCCTCTCCTCAGCAGCTCCTCTCCTTCAAATCCCAACCCTCTCATCCTCTTCACCACCTCTTCAGGGTCATTCTCCGCCACAACAAGCAGGTAAAATACTCCTCTAGGGGACAACAGCTCTGCTGAAACCTCCAAGGCTCGATCTATTACCTCCCTCCCGCGATCCCCTCCCGCCCAGGCTTGCGTGATTCCCGGACGGTGCACTTCTTGCGGCGAAGTGGGAACGTATGGCGGGTTGAAGATGAGAATGTCTACTTGGCCTGCCATCCTCGGTATAAGGGCCGATCCGAGATCCGATATAAGGACGTCCGCTGGAATGTTGTGGGCTGCTAGGGTTTGTCTGGTGATGTCCGCGGCATGGGGGTTTATGTCCACCGCGAAAAACGCGGCCAGAGAGGCAAGGGAGACACTAACACTAGGAGCAGCAGCACCACTGCTAGCATCCCTACCGTGAGCACCAGCAGCATCAGCACTGCTAGCATCCCTACCGTCAGCACCAGCAGCAGCACCACTGCTAGCATCCCTACCGTCAGCACCAGCAGCAGCACCACTGCTAGCATCCCTACCGTCAGCACCAGCAGAATCAGCACTGCCAGCACCACTGGCCGCACTGTTGCTGCACGCGATGACAGCGGGGGCAGAAGGAGCGGAGAGGGTGCGGAGGACGAGGGCCACTGATGTAACGACGAAGCCGCTACCAGAACCGAGCTCGACAACCAGAGCAGGGAACGACGGACGGCCAGAGGAGATAATGTGGGCATGAGGAGGGTGGGAGGTTCTGGGCGACTGTGCGGGTGGGGACGGGGGGTGTTTATGTGAGATGGACGATGTCGGAAGGGCTTGGTCGGATGGCGGAGTGTTGTCGCTAGCGCAGGTTGCAAGCGACGGATAGGAGCGGGCGATGTCCGCGGCGATGGCATCGGCGAGGGCGAAGGAGTCGTCGCACGGCTCGTACACCTCGGGATGACGTGGCATCAGTCGCAGATCTGGCTGTGGCCGATTGTCCCTTCTCTGGCGTCGCTGCTGCTGCCGTTGAGAGGCAGACATTATTGGCTATATGTCGAATGACCTATAACGAGCCCGTTGCCCCCGTATCCTAAAGCTTTAATGAATTTACGGGTACTATAACTGATTGTATCGTGCAAGCTAATGCACCACAATCAGTTGCGTTCTCTTGCTTTCTATCTTGAGGTACATTCACCGACCCCGATACTGGCTAGCAATTGGACAAGCTGATTGTGTTGAGCGGTAATGCGGAATCAATCGCGGCATGCGGGAGAGGTAAGCACAGGAGGACACATGCGGGAGAGGTAAGGGCGTGTTACATTTTCGTGTTTCGGTGGTCCGAACTGCTGGTAGTCCGGACCAAAAAAGGGTTACCAATTTCGTAAAGCGTCGCAAGGTTTTTCGCAAGTCGTTGAGCGACGTCGCATTCGTCTGTACCACTGATGGAACATTTTCCACTTTCCCGCCAAATGCCATCGTTCGGACAGTGACAGTCCGTCAGGTGGACAGGATGTACGGACCGCGTATTTCATTGGCGGGCGAAATATTTCTGCGAAATTTCAACAGCCAATCGGATGGTGTGCGGCCCGATGGTTTCCCGCCGCGCCCCGCACAACAAACCTCCGCCACTAGATTGTACGAAGCGCAATTTCATGAACCTTCGCACTCGTGAATCCAACCAACTACAAATGCGATATAGATTTGGGTGAGAGCGTCATAGCCAATCATGGATTTCTCAGGCTTCGGTGACAACACTGACCCTACCCGCACTCCCGGCAACTCTTCTACACCCAGCAACACCCCTTCAACAAATGTAGCTACCACCAATGTCCCTGACACTCAGGAGTCGCAGAATGTTCAAGCGGGTCCCTCTGTACCACCGCTAGCTGGAGCCACGGCCCAGAACCCCATCGACATTGACGACCCTACTTGGTGGGGCTATCACATCCGATCGCCTAGTGACGCCTACGACGAGACTGAAGACTACGGACTTGGCGAAGAGGTGGCAGACGGTCCGCCTCCTCCTGGACAAGAGGAAGAATTGCACGCTGGTGAGGAAACTGCCCCTACCAACGCCACAGCAGGCACCTCTCGTCGCTCGGATGGAAGAACCAACAACCGTTGGTCCGTTGAAGAGGAGTGGGATCTGCTGCTGGCGTTCCTCGAAAATCAGGATGAGATTACTCGGAGGACCGGGCAGCAGGGCAGGAGTTGGTACCCTTTCCTGCACGGCGTGCTTAGGCGTCGTCGTCCGGAGTGGCGTCACGACAGCGCTGCCATCAAGGCCAAGCTTCATCGACTGAAAGATACCTGGAGGCGCTGGAAGGAGCGCGGCTTCAATCACTCTGGCGGGGGGCGCCCACGTGGCCTTCCGGCGTGGTATGACGTGGCGGACGAGATCTGGGTTGAGCGCCCCGCGGCCGTCCCCCCTGTACTTGCAGGCACTGGTCTCCCACCGGCAGGTGCCACCGTACCGCCGCAGTCCGCGACTGGCGCACCTCCTGCGCACCGCCGGTTCCCAGTCATTGCTGTGCCACCCGGACCCATCGCGTCCGCGCCACCTCGTCTACCTGCGACCAACACTACACAGACTACTACGACCCGTCCGACTCGCCCCCGCGCAGCTTCACAGCCCGCTAACCCCGCGGGAACCCAAGGACCTCCATCGACACCATACCCCCTTCCGCCGCGCCAGTCGTACACACCGAAGCGGATCCAGCCCCGCAGCTCACGGTGAATACTCCCGCGACCAGCACTTGTCTGTCCCCTGATACCATTCCCCGCCCCGATGCTCCTACTCCACCCGCCGTTACGGAGAATGGTCTCCCCGACTCAAATCTCTCCAATGCGACGGCGGGCCTGTCCGTGCGTTGGCGACGTCTGACTTGGGGAGCGCGCCCATCGACTGATGGGATGGAGGGTTGCTCACGTCACGCGTGGTACCAGTACCCAAGCAACACCATGGTCAACAACGAGGGGGAAGGCAAAGGGGGAAGCGGGAGGAAAGGTCGGAAGGCAGCAGCAAAGAAGAAAATAGTCAGTCTGCAGGAGGTAGCAAGCAACATCACGGCTTCTTTCCACAAGCGGCAGGACAAGCAGTGGGAGGAGTTCAAGATGCTCACCCGGGAAGTGGCGCAGTCGTTTCGTGAAGCGCGACGAGCCAGGAGGCGTAGATCGCCGCCGCCCACCTCATCATCCGAAGCTGAGGACTAAACCCGAGAACTTCGGGCCCTGTAAGTCATAGTCGCGTAGCAGGTCCCCATAACCACCATTTATTGCGCTCGCGTGGTGGTCCCAACCGAACCCGCGAGCCAAGGGTAAGTTCGATATTGTGTAACGCCACGCACGTGCTGACCGTGTCCGGAACCAACCTTGCGTGGCACTCCATTCTCTCATCGAGAATCCGCCACTTGCCCTTCAGGCGGCCGTTCACCTGCTCAATTACCATCCACTGCCGTGCTTGCTGTGTATTTCATTTGTCGTGTGCTTCTGGCAGCTCCCGACCAGGGTGGGCACGGTACGGGACGCACGTGTAGCTCCTCAGGCCATACGCCGCATCCAACACAAGCATGTAGTCTCCTATCTCGCCTGCCTCGATTCGTGCGCGCGCTGGAGAGTTGGCAAACACCCGGGCATCATTGACGCTCCCGGGGTATCCAACGAAGTAGTCCCATATAAGTCCGTCAGAGTTGCAGAATTATGGAGTAGAAGCCCTTACGGTTTTTGAAATCTTCCCTGAGCCTGCCGAATCCGCGACATTTGATGTAGGTGTCGTCTAGGGCGCCTACAATTCCTGGTATCCCGCCTTCGAGGCAAAAATCTTCCGCCATGTCTGCTAGCTGCTCTCTTGTAGGCCATTCGACCCATAGCGGTAGGAGATCATGTATGATGAAATGCATAAACGATCTTATAATTCTCATTGCATGTGGCGGAGCGACACCAAACTGGAGGCCTATCTGGCGGTATGTCGCTCCGATCCCAAGATGAACCAGCGCCATGGCTACACATGTTTCGACAGGGATCTGTCTACGCCGATCGCCGCGCTTACTAACCCAGGCGTCAACCAGGTAATCGAATGCTCTCCTGTTGACACGGAAACTCTTATGAAAAACTTGCTCAGGCATGTTGAATAATAAAGTGTCCCATCGGTCCCGCTGGTTGTCCCGGTCATCCCGCATGATTTCATGCTCTTCATTGTTTCCGGCAATTTCAGCAAGCACCGGAAGTTGTGCCACGAGGAGCTCATAGTTGGCGCGGGCAAAAAATTGTTGGTACCCACGGTATAGTAGGCCCAAGACTCTGAAGTATTGACGAGCAGACATGTTGCGTGACAAAAATGAGTAGGGAGGCATTCACGGCTTCTTGTATCAAAGGTTCAAGATTCACGACGCTGTTGTTGAAGGCACACCCCAACCTGGTCGAGCCGCCAATTTGTGGTGGGCGAAAATTGCGAGTTGTCGTGACAGTTGTTACTATTCCACAGTGTTTGGAAATTTGAATTTGGAAAAAAGATTGATTCTCCTCGTTCGGATGTGCCTCGGTCCGAACGTCACCCCAAAACCGTCCGTACGCGATATTAGTACGCTGTACGGATTATAGTCCGGACGAAATGACTAAAAAAAAAAAATGTAACACGCCCTAAGCACATGCGGAATCAATCGTACAACTGATTATATAATCTGTAGTTTTCGAACAGTTTTTATTTTGTATACAGCTCGCGCAACACATTTGGCTCGCTTGAATGCGGTTTATTGTGGCGCCGATGCTTAGGCCCACAACATTTAGGCTCGCAGAAACTGGTTCGCAAGTCACCGAAGTTTACCGCCTCATAAACCTCACGAATTCGAGCGAAGTACATGTAGCACAGCACAACCAGAATTGTCAGGAGGGTGATTCAAAGGAACATAGCGAAAACCGCAACAAGGAGACTCAGAATTGTACAGAAAGATTGGTTCCGTTTGCAGCCTCAAAGCATGTTTACCAGGGTTTTACAATGGCAAACGGCAAAAATTGCAGCACATCCCCGTTGTTGTGAGCTGCACAGACGGGCTTGGGTTCGGTTCGGGGAAGCTTGCGAGATTTTTCGGCGTACGAGGCAGGAAAATTCGTTGGAGCCCCTGTCGGTCGGTGCTGTTTGCAAGGAGGAAAGGAAATGCAAGATTCTATTGTGTTTGTCAAATTAGCGGCGTGTTTTGCAGCAGCAGGCTATGGCTTCAAGTTCCAAGCAAGAGGGGGGGGGTGTCAAAATGAGAGAAGTGCGAAACAAGAATGAAGAAAGGAGGGCTTTCACTAGCAGTAGTTGGGATACATATAGCAAACCCTAACTGGGTTGTACTCGCTACAGAGCACCCCACTACAGGCTAGATAATAACATTCTGACACACCCCCATAGCCAAAGTGGGGTGTAATCAGCACAATAAGCAAGCAAAGCTAGAGGCTATCACAGAGGGCAAGTGAGGAGGAGGAGAGACTGTGGGGGCGAGAAGATGGGAGGCGACGGCTGAAGCTGCAGACACACGGGCAACAGGAGGACTGGCATTGTGGCTACCGGCGCATGAGGGCACCGGACTACAGGGAGTAACAGGCTCTGCGGCGCGGCAGAAGCAACGGACCCACGGGCGACTGGCACAGCAAGGCTCTCTGGGCTACCGAGAGCACGACGGCTCCGGACTACAGGCGCTGCGAACGACACGACGGCGGCCTCCACGCAACTTCCCCCAACTGTCCCACCCCCCTTTCACACACACCCCCTGCTGCACCCCTAGCTCCACTCCCACGGCACCCCCCTTAAACCCTAAACCCTCGGCTCCCACACACCCACCCCCCTGAGCGGCAGCTGCAGCAGCGGGAGACGGAGGAGGAGGAGGAGTAGGGAACGGTGCACACTGTCAGAGGTCCACTGGGGATCCCCGATGATCCTAGGGAAGGGTTACAGGCACGGCGGCCTGGGGGGTTATGGGCGCACTCACCCGCTACACAAACAAGCCCTTTTATCCCAGTGGTTAGTGGCTGGGATTCTGACATGTTATCAGAGCGAAGGTCTCGGGTTCGAATCCCGGTGTGTGCACCTCGGGCATCCCAGTGCGGGGGGGTGTCAGAGGTCCACTGGAGATCCCCGATGATCCTAGGGAAGGGTTACAGGCATGTTGGCCTGGAGGGTTATGGGCGCACTCACCCGCTACACAAACAAGCCCTTTTATCCCAGTGGTTAGTGGCTGGGATTCTGACATGGTTTCAGAGCAGGTCCTTCGCTAGGACTGTTCTTAGGGCCCACCGACTTACCTACCTGCTTACCTTCGCTTGTTTCCGGCCCCGCTGGCCCCGTCGATCTAGCAAGATCTAGCGGCCCTGCGGCCCCGTCGAATTTTTTTTTTTTTTAGCGGCCTCTCACGGCCCCCGTCGCGTCGCCCCTTAGCGCCCCGATCGGCCCCGTCACGCCGCCCGCGAACCGCACAGCGCGCCGCGCTCACAGCCCGCGAACCGCCCGCGCACAGCCCGCGACCCGCCTGCGCAGCCCGCGACCAGCCCGCGCAGCCCGCGCACAGCCCGCGAACTGCCCGCGAGCAGCCCGCGACCTGCCCGCGAACCCCCGCGAGCCGCCCGCGACCCGCTTACGCAGCCCGCGAGCAGCCCGCGCAGCCCGCGCTGAGCCTGCGCGGCTCGTGCGCTGACCGCCGCCGGCCCGCACGCTGCCCGCACTGCTCCCGGCCCGCCGCTGCTGAGCCCGCAGCCGCCCGCGCACCGCCGCTGCTGAACCCGCCGCCGCCCGCGCACCGCCGCTGCTGAGCCCGCCGCCGCCCGCGCACCACCGCTGCTGAGCCCGCCCCTGCTGCGCCGGCTCTCGCTGCCGCCTGCTGCGCCTGTGCACCTCGGGCATCCCAGTGCGGGGGGGTGTCAGAGGTCCACTGGGGATCCCCGATGATCCTAGGGAAGGGTTACAGGCACGGCGGCCTGGGGGGTTATGGGCGCACTCACCCGCTACACAAACAAGCCCTTTTATCCCAGTGGTTAGTGGCTGGGATTCTGACATGTTATCAGAGCGAAGGTCTCGGGTTCGAATCCCGGTGTGTGCACCTCGGGCATCCCAGTGCGGGGGGGTGTCAGAGGTCCACTGGTGATCCCCGATTGATCCTAGGGAAGGGTTACAGGCATGGCGGCCTGGGGGGTTATGGGCGCACTCACCCGCTACACAAATAAGCCCTTTTATCCCAGTGGTTAGTGGCTGGGATTCTGACATGGTATCAGAGCGAAGGTCTCGGGTTCGAATCCCGGTGTGTGCACCTCGGGCATCCCAGTGCGGGGGGGTGTCAGAGGTCCACTGGTGATCCCCGATTGATCCTAGGGAAGGGTTACAGGCACGGCGGCCTGGGGGGTTATGGGCGCACTCACCCGCTACACAAACAAGCCCTTTTATCCCAGTGGTTAGTGGCTGGGATTCTGACACACACAACCGGCACCCCCACAACCGCCACCCCCACACTCCTCACCCCCAAACCCTAAAACGGGTGACACGGGGTAGGAGCGCGGGGGACGGCGAGGGGGACGGCGCGCGGCCCCCAGGGCGCCACCACGGGGCAGCGAGGGGCCGCGCGCGGCTCCCCAGGGCGCCGTGACGGGGCAGGGGGGGGGTCGCGCACTGCTCCAGGGGTGGCGCGCGGGGCCCCGGGGGTGACGCGAGGGTCGACGGGGGTGGCGCGCGGGTCCCGCGGGGCAGAGCGAGCGCCGACGAGGGGCGCGCGCGGGTCCCCTGAGGCGACGCGAGGGCCGACGGGAGGGGGCGCGCCATGTAGGAAACCGCCGCGCGCCCCGAGGCACACGGCGGGCAGAAAACCGCCGCGCGCCTCGGAGCGCACGGCAGGAAGAAGACGGCGCGCGCCCGAGGCGCGTGAGAAGAAGAACAGCAGCGGAAGCAGTTAGGTGGCGGGCCCACCCACAGGATCGACCCAAGGGGGTCGACCTGCTCTGATAGCATGTCAAAATGAGAGAAGTGCGAAACAAGAATGAAGAAAGGAGGGCTTTCACTAGCAGTAGTTGGGATACATATAGCAAACCCTAACTGGGTTGTACTCGCTACAGAGCACCCCACTACAGGCTAGATAATAACATTCTGACAGGGGGAAGGAAGCGCGCCATTACAGAACTGGCGGAAGCAACTGGAGCGTTACCGCATCGAGGAGATGGAGGGAGGGATGGACAGGGGGAGGGAGCGAGGAAATCTACCCTCACCACTTGCGTGTGCGATAGGGATGGCGTCGAAACGCGCCCGTCCGCGATACTAATATCTCTCATTCAGATGTCCCTTGAGCAAACAGACCGATTTCGCATAGCCGGTTAGCTCAACGCAGAGTGCCAATACGTTGCGTTGTTCATCCATCATTAGCCATACAGAAGCCACTCCTTTGTTCTCGCATGTCTGAATTTGGGACTAGCTCGACATGGCATCTCGTCCCTTTGTGCTCGCAATGCTTATGCTCCTCGCAGCGGCTTTGCCGCCTGAACGGTGACGGTTATTCAACCGACGCGGAGGATGGCAGCGTGACGGTAAATGGCACAACTGCTTTCCGAACGGCACAATTCTAAACGGTGACGGTCAGACGATCACCCCGACGACGAACGCAGACGGATCTGTATCTGCCGGCGGTTTTACCGTCTATCCGAACGGGACAGTCACATCTGACTGAACAACCGTCAATGCAGGCGGCGGGATTACGCTCCCCGGCGAGCTCAACATCAGAACTGGCGGCATGGGGGGGATTCGGACGCTGGGATTCACGGTGAATCCTGACGGAACAGTGACCGTTAAAACCCGCAGCCTGAATTACAAAAAAAGTTGGGAGGTGTTAACACTTTCCCTCCCGAACCAGGGTGGTTACCAGCTGTTCACCTGCAAAACTAGATGAAGTCGCAGGCAGCTCAGGAAGTGTCGCTCGGTTCCTGCGCAACCACTCTGGCCGAGGTGTGCACACCAAACTGGAAACATGTAATTCAGGTTGTTCGAAACTGCCTAGTCTGATCAGCTAAAGCCGGAGCCATAGCTTAGAACAGCTAGGCTCCAACCCCATTCCAGCCCCAGGCCACTTATTTCCGCCTTACTCATTAGGACTATTACTCCATTCCGTAAATGCCTCAGATAAAACTTTCCGCGATTCTAGGGCACGTTTCCACTCGATCGACATAGCTAGCCGTGCCCATGGATGCATATATGCTCATCGTCGCCCTGGTTGCACCTCCCCATCGCCCACCGCATCGATGTCGCCCCTGTTCATAGCCGCGGCGTCCTCTCTGTCCGCATTTCTAAGTTTTTATCCAACTACTTCGTCGCATTCGCTTCTTCTCCCCGACGAGAACACTCGGTCCCCTTCCGTCCCACACACGCACTCCCCTCCATCGCTCACGCTTCCTCGCTCGAACGAGCACGCTCCCTCCCCTCCCGTCTCCTTTGCGCAATCCCCATTGTCGCGCACGCTCGCTTCCCTCCGTCGCGGATTACAAATTCCTTCCGTCGCCCACGCGCACTCCCTTCCGTTGCCCACGCCCAAGACCGTCGCCCACATTCACTCCCTTCCCATCGCCTTCGCACAATTGTTCCGTCGCCCACTCTCAATCACTTCCGTCGCCCGCGCTCACTCCCTTCCTGTCGCCCACGCTCACTCCCTTTCCATTGCCTTCGCGCAATTCTTCCGTCGCACACGCTCACCTCCGCTCGTCGCACACGGCCAATTCCCTCTCGTCGCACGCTGCCGCCCGCGCCGCGCACTCCCTTTCAATCTCCTTCCGCCGCCCACGCTCACTCCCTCCCGCCGCAACGGTCCCCTCCGTCGCACATGCTCACTCCCATCCGTCGCCCACGCCCACTCCCTCTCGTCGCCACGCTCACTCCTCCCCGTCGCGCACGCTCTCTCCCCATCCGTCGCCCACGCTCACTGCCGGTACGTCGCACGCTCTCACTCCCTTCCGTCGCCCACGCTCACCCCCCTCCCGTCGCCTTCGCTCACTCTCTCCCCACCCCATTCCGCCCCACCCCATCTCCTTCTCACCCTTTTCCGCCTCACTCTAGAGCTAGAGTCAGCGCATGCAGCGCATGCACCTCCCCATCCCTCTCCTCCCCATCCCTCACCTCCTCATCCCTCTCCTCCCCATCCCTCACCTCCCCATCCCTCATCTCCCATCCCTCACCTCCCCATCCCTCTCATCCCCATGCTGCATCTCCCCATCCCTCATCTCCTCATCCCTCACCTCCCCATCCCTCTCCTCCCCATCCCTCTCCTCCCCATCCCTCTCCTCCCCATCCCTCATCTCCCCATCCCTCACCTCCCCATCCCTCTCCTCCCCATCCCTCACCTCCCCATCCCTCTCCTCCCCATCCCTCACATCCCCATCCCTCTCCTCCCCATCCCTCATCTCCCCATCCCTCACCTCCCCATCCCTCACCTCCCCATCCCTCACCTCCCTATCCTTGCTGCTGTTGCTGTAAATGATGCGGAAACCCGCCCTGTGTGCCCCTCCCCGAGTCACCATCCCCGTCAACCCCATCCCATCCTTTGCCCTCAGGGATGGGGTGGACGCGAGGTGGAGGAGTGGGGGCGAGTCGTCGTGCTGAGTTAGGGTGCCGCGACACCGTGGGAGGCACCATTTCCGCCCCACCCCATTCCGCCCCACCCGATTCCGCCCCACCCCATTCCGCCCCACCCCTTTCTGCCCCACCCCATTCCGCCCCACCCCATTCCGCCCCACCCCATTCCGCCCCACCCCATTCCGCCCCACCCCAGTCCGCCCCACCCCATCTCCTCCTCACCCCTTTCCGACTCACTCCATTCCGTCTCAACAAGTTCCCCCTGTTCCCCTTCCCAATCGCCCTCTCCCTTATTTCCCTCCATAGCCTCGATCCTGTTTCCCCCCAGCCCCCTCTACCCTGTTTTCCCCCCTTCCCGGCCCTTCACCCTCTTCTGCAGGGACAACCGGAAGCACGTGCTACAGCTGCTGCTGTGCTCGTGCTACAGGTGAGCCACAACACAACATGCTCTGCTGTGCGGCTGTGTGCGGTGCGGTTCTATGCTCTGCTGTGCAGAGCTACGCGAGATGCGGTGCACTGCGCTGCTCTGGGGCTCTGCGGTGCTGTGCTGTGCTCTGCTTTGCGCACACCCCTCCTCTCCATACTCCCGAATCATCCCTCTCATCCCCATGCCACATCTCCCCATCCCTCACCTCCCCATCCCTCATCTCCCCATCCCTCATCTCCCCATCCCTCACCTCCCCATCCCTCATCTCCCCATCCCTCATCTCCCCATCCCTCCTCTCCCCATCCATCCTTTTCCCATCCGTCCTCTCCCCATCCCCTCCCGCCCTGTCCTATCCCCTCACCCCGCCCTGTCCTATCCCCTCACCCCGCCCTGTCCTATCCCCTCACCCCGCCCTGTCCTATCCCCTCACCCCGCCCTGTCCTATCCCCTCGCCCCGCCCTGTCCTATCCCCTCACCCCGCCCTGTCCTATCCCCTCACCCCGCACCATCCCAGGCGAGCATGACAGAGGCCCAGACGACCTGCATGGACGTGCTGCCTTCTCTTGCTCCTGTTTTCAGCATCTCGAAGGCCCAGACGAGCCTCATTGCAAAAGGGACAGCTAAATGGAAACACACAAGAATAGAGCAATAGCTCTAGCTTGTCTTTTATCCTGATACTGCATGCTTATGTCATGTGTATTAACATCTCAAATAAAATATATGTGGGTCTAAACGTGTACATCTTATCGCCTGATTTGTATACTAGTCTACTGTGAAACGGGTTACAAAGAAAACTAACAGAGGCTACCATAACAGCAGCATGAACAGCGACTTGAGTACAGTATCAACATGTTGTAATATGCCGTTGGATGTCACAATGAGGACACACAGCAGCCTCAAATGGAATCAAATCGTACTGGGTTGCTCCATGCTGCAAAGCAAAGCTCACGAAGAGGAGGGGGGGGAAGGTGGGAAGGACTGGAGAGGGAAATAAGAAACAGGGAAGGGAGGGAATGCAGGAGAGTCACAGGGTCGTGAAACCACCCCAGCTCTTCGAGTTACATGCCTGTTGAAGACAATAACAGGGTTGAAAAAGGAAAAGAGAGGGGAGGAAGGGATGAGAGAGGGGAGGACGGGATGAGAGAGGGGAGGAAGGGATGAGAGAGGGGAGGAAGAGGTGAGAGAGGGGAGGAAGGGATGAGAGAGGGGAGGAAGGGATGAGAGAGGGGAGGACGGGATGAGAGAGAGGAGGAAGGGATGAGAGAGGGGAGGACGGGATGAGAGGGGAAGAAGGGATGAGAGAGGGGAGGAAGGGGTGAGAGAAGGGAGGAAGGGATGAGAGAGGCGAGGAACGGATGGGAGGAGTGAGGAAGGGATGATAAAAAGGGGGAGAGAGGAGGACAGGGGGGGGAGAGGAGGACAGGGGGAGAGGGAGGACAGGGGGGAGAGAGGAGGACAGGGGGGGAGAGAGGAGGACAGGGGGGGAGAGAGGAGGACAGGGGGGGAGAGAGGAGGACAGGCGGGGAGAGAGGAGGACAGGGGGGGAAAGAGGAGGACAGTCGGGCTTGGCGAAGGCAATAAGAAGAAGAGGAGGCGGTAAGAAGAGAGAGGAACAGGGAGAAGAGTGTAGGCGGGAAGGATGCTGGCCTAGACAGCGTGGAAGGCAAGAAGGGGGTGGACAGGGGAACCAGGGGGGGGGGGGGAACAGGGGAACCAGGGGGGGGAAACAGGGGAACCAGGGGGGGGGGAACAGGGGAACCAGGGGGGGGGAAACAGGGGAACCAGGGGGGGGGGGGGGGGAACAGGGGAATCAGGGGGGGGAAACAGGGGAACCAGGGGGGGAAACAGGGGAACCAGGGGGGGGAGAACAGGGGAACCAGGGGGGGGAAACAGGGGAACCAGGAGGGGGGGAACAGGGGAACCAGGGAGGGGGAACAGGGGAACCAGGGGGGGGGGAACAGGGGAACCAGAGGGGGGGCTGAACGGGGGAACCAGGGAGGGGGAACAGGGGAACCAGGGGGGGAGAACAGGGGAACCAGGGGGGTGATGGAGGACATTCATGAAGGAAACTGAGCGTAATCGGGGGGGGCCTACACCAAGTGAAATGTTACACAAAGTAATGTAACTATTCTCACTATCTTGAAGTGTACCCTTTTCGCGGGCTTCGAGATCACTTGAATCTTGAAACCAAGGCTCTGGTTCTTCACCATAAACTCATCCTTGAGTTCTTGATGGGTCTGCTGCACACACCTGCGACACACAGAACGTTCGACAGACGACAAAATAGCAATCGGGGGGGGGGGGGGGGGGGGAACTGAGCGCAATCGGGGGGGGGGGTTGAAACTGAGCGCAATCGGGGGGGTGAACTGAGCGCACTTGGGGGGGGAAACTGAGCGCAATCGGGGGGGGGGGGAGGGGGGAACTGCGCGCAATCAGGGGGGGAAACTGAGCGCAATCAAGGGGGGGGGGGAAACTGAGCGCAATTGGGGGGGGAACTGAGCGCAATCAGGGAGGGAAACTGAGAAAGACGTGAATTAGAATGCAAGTTGCGACGTGGGCGGATTGGGAGATGATGCGACTGAAAACGGATAGTGAGAAGGTGGAAAGTGGCCTCCGCAAAAAGGACGCAGCGGCGATTGAAGGGACAATAGGTGTTCGAATGGGAAGAGGAGAGAAGGCGGCGGGGTGGAAAACCAGGGCGTCGGCGCGAGAGAGGGGAGTAGGCATGGACGACGGGAATGAGAACGGCGTCGACGCAATGCTAGGTGGGAGAGGAGAGGATGACGAGGTGAGCGATGGGGAGGGGAAGCGAGGGCGACGGGCGGGGGAAGCGAAGGTGACGGGCGGAGGAAAGCGTGTCAGAATGAACGGACTGGAATGATTGAACTAACAGAGAAATCAGTACAAATAGCAAACCCTAGAATTGTGTACCCCATATAGGCTAACCCACTGTAGCCTAACAAACGCAACATATATAATGTTTGACACACCCTCATAGGCAAAGTGGGGGAGACCTAGGGGTCACAAGACCAGTCAAGGCAAAGCAAGGCAACAACAAGCTCAGGGTGGATCTCAAGGATACCACACAAATTCCGAGCACAAGCTAGTGGTCACAAGACCAGTTCACATGCAGGTTTATAACAGAGCATTGTCAAACATTGCATGCTTATATTATGTAGGCTGTAGTGGGTTACACCTTAGGGGGTACTGAAAGTTAGGGTTTCCTACTTGTACCAAACTATGTGCTAGTTCAATCCATTCCTGCTCAGTTATTTCTGACATGGTATCAGAGCAGGTCCTTCGCTAGGACTGTTCTTAGGGCCCACCGACTTACCTACCTGCTTACCTTCGCTTGTTTCCGGCCCCGCTGGCCCCGTCGATCTAGCACGATCTAGCGGCCCTGCGGCCCCGTCGAACTTTTTTTTCCTAGCGGCCTCTCACGGCCCCCGTCGCGTCGCCCCTTAGCGCCCCGATCGGCCCCGTCACGCCGCCCGCGAACCGCCCGCGACCTGCCCGCGAACCCCCGCGAGCCGCCCGCGACCCGCTTACGCAGCCCGCGCAGCCCGCGCTGAGCCTGCGCGGCTCGTGCGCTGACCGCCGCCGGCCCGCACGCTGCCCGCACAGCTCACATACGGCCCGCGCGGCCCGCGCACTGCCTGCTACCGGCCCGCCGCTGCTGAGCCCGCAGCCGCCCGCGCACCGCCGCTGCTGAGCCCGCCGCCGCCCGCGCACCGCCGCTGCTGCGCCCGCCGCCGCCCGCGTATCACCGCTGCTGAGCCCGCCCCTGCTGCGCCGGCTCTCGCTGCCGCCTGCTGCGCCTGTGCACCACTGCAGATCCTGCTACTACTGCAGATCCTACTACTGCTGCTTGTGCGCCACTACAGTCCGTAGGCCCCACCGGCCCCGCTGACCCTGCGCACGCCTTTTCAGTGACTTTACTGCTTCTACTACTGCCGCTGTCGCTATGGCTAGTCCTCCTGTTCTAGCTTTCGACGCCGAGGGCCGTCCGGTCAAATTCGAAACCTGGCTAGATGACCTGCACCTTTTCCTACAGCTCACTGCCAAGGAAGATATTACTCTGTACGACCACGCTCTCGGCCATGCGACCGCCCCACTCACTACTGCCCCCCCAGCTGAGCGCTCACAGTGGCAGACCCGTGACGCGCACGCTCGCTTTGCTATTCGCAACTCCCTGCCACTAGATGAGCGCGAGCACTTCGGCCAGTGCAAGACTGCTAAGGACCTCTACACAGCTGTAGTGGCCCGCTACTCCTCACCCGCTTCTGCCACGCTAGGCCGCCTCACTCTCCCCTACCTGTTCCCCGACCTAGCCTCCTTTCACACTGTCGCAGACCTCATCACCCACCTTAAGACTAGTGAGGCTCGCTTTCGCGCTGCCATGCCTGACGAGTTCCTCGCTAGCAACCCCCCCCCGCTCTGGATCACTCTCTACCACGTTGTCACCCGCCTCCCTGACTCTCTGCGCCCTGTCAGGGACCAGTTCCTCTCTCGCTCCCCCACTGAACTCACCGTAGACCTCCTCGAGAAGGAACTGCTTGCAGCCGAGGCTAGTATCGTCGCTGTAGGCACCTCTCGTGGCGACCCCCGCGGCCCCTTCTTCGAGGGGTGCTCCCCTTCCCCCCTCCTCCCCTCTGTCGCCTCTGCTGCTGCTGTCGACCTCCTTGGTACTGAGAAGGTCGGGGCTGCGTCTGCTTCAGGCGGACGACGCAGGGGCAGGAGTGGCAGGAGTGGGGGTGGTGGCGGAGGAGGCGGGAGTGGAGGTGGTGGCGGTGGAGGTGCGACTGGAGAGGCTAGTGGCGGCAGTGGTGGAGGTGACAGCGGCGGTGGGAGTGGTGACAGGGGCGGAGGTGGCATCGGAGGCGGAGGTGGTCGTGGCAGCGGCAGGGGTGGAGGTGGCCGGGGCGGAGGCGGAGGGGGTGGTGGTCGTGGAGGCCCGGGGGGCGGTCAGAGTCAGCAGCCTGCCCCGACCCTTCAGGCCGCCCGTGAGTGGTATGCGCGGCGCAGCGTCACCTGCCAGTACGTTATTCGCACAGGTGACCGCACTGGCCAGACGTGTGGGGGGCCGCACCAGACGGAGCGCTGCTTCGCCCGCCTCAACGACGCGTGGCGCACCCAGTTTCCTGGTGGGGGTGAGCTGCCGCGCTGGGCTGAGCTGCTCAGGAAGGGTGTTGATATTTGGGCACTAGACTTTGATGCTATTCTCACTGCCATGTATGCGATGTCTATTAGTGGAGAGGGTGCTCAGTACTTGCGTGTTCCGCCCGACCCGGGCATTCAGGCCAGCCCCGCTGCTGCTCTAGGTGCTAGTGTGTCTGCTTCCACAGGTACTACTGCAGCTGCTGCTCTAGGTACTTGTGCGTCTGTGCCCCCTGGTACTGAGTTGACTGCAGCACTGCACACCTTCACACTGGACTCAGGTGCTTCTCGCTCTTTCTTTCGTGACCGCACTGTCCTTGAGCCTCTAGCTCGGCCGGTTGCTGTCTCTCTTGCTGACCCCTCTGGGGGTCCGGTCCTTGCGACCTCCTCCACCACCCTTCCGTGTCCAGCGGTTCCGTCCGGCACGCTCTCAGGTCTCTACCTCCCCTCGTTCTCCACGAACTTGGTGGCAGGTAGTGCGCTCCAGGACGGGGGTGTTCACCAGTTCACCCCTGCCTACGAGCGTGTGACTCACTGCACATGTGCTCGGACGGGCCGTCACCTAGCTACTTTCACTCGAGAGCCGGGGTCTGACCTGTACACACTGACCACTGAGTCCCCTCAGGTAGCTGCGTCTGCGTCAGCGTCAGGTCAGCTGTCCGCCCCCTGCTCGTGTCGCTCTCTGGCGAACGACACCGTCCTCTGGCACCACCGCCTTGGTCACCCGTCTGTGCAGCGCCTGCGGGCCATGCACAAACGGGACCTTGTTGCTGGTCTTCCCAGGGTGCTCCCTCCCCTTCCTGACTCCCCTGCTCCTGACTGCATTCCCTGTGTCGAGGGGCGGCAGCGCGCCGCTCCTCACTCCTCCTCCTTTCCCCCGACGACCGCTCCCCTGCAGACGCTCCACATGGACGTGTGGGGCCCAGCCCGCGTCCGTGGTCAGGGTCAGGAGAGGTACTTCCTGATAGTTGTTGACGACTACTCGCGCTACACCACGGTCTTCCCCTTGCGCGCCAAGGGTGACGTCCCTGGTGTTTTGATCCCCTGGATCAGCCGAGCCCGTCTCCAGCTAGGCGAGCGCTTTCACTCGGACTTTCCTGTCCTGCGCTTGCACTCTGACAGAGGTGGTGAGTTTGCCTCCGACCTCCTGGCAGCCTACTGTGCTGAGCACGGCATTGAGCAGTCGTACACGCTTCCGGCCTCTCCACAGCAGAATGGGGTTGCTGAGCGGCGCATTGGCTTAGTCATGGAGGTCGCTCGTACCTCCCTGACCCATGCGGCTGCTCCCCACTTTCTGTGGCCGTTTGCGGTCCGGTACGCTGCGCATCAGCTCAACCTCTGGCCCCGTGTCTCCTTGCCGGAGACTTCCCCGACTCTGCGGTGGACGGGAGAGGTTGGCGATGCGTCGCGTTTCCGGGTGTGGGGATCCCGAGCTTTTGTCCGCGACACGTCTGTGGACAAGCTCTCCCGTCGCGCTCTTCCCTGTGTCTTCCTTGGCTTTGTTCCTGACGCGCCTGGATGGCAGTTTTACCACGTCACCTCGCGCCGGGTTCTGGCCTCTCAGGACGTCACTTTTGACGAGTCCGTCCCCTTCTACCGCCTCTTCCCCTACCGCACTGCCCCGCTCCCCCCCCCGCCTCTCTTCCTCGCTCCAGGTGCTGAGGTACCAGAACCCCTCCCCCCTCAGGGTGCCGCTCCCTCAGGTGTGTCCCAGGTAGACCCGGGTGAGCCTGTCGAGGTAGCTGTTGACTCGCGTCCTGCGTCTGGGGGTGCTGAGCCTGGGGGTGCTGAGCCTGGAGGTGCGGAGCCTGGGGGTGCTGAGCCTGGAGGTGCGGAGCCTGGAGGTGCGGAGCCTGGAGGTGCGGAGCCTGGAGGTGCGGAGCCTGGAGGTACTGAGCCTGGGG